AATTATTTTTGTCATTTTGAAAATAGAAACTATGCAAACAAATTTATTAACTCTCTCATTATTTTAATGGTGAAGAAATAGCAGTTGGACGAGAAATAATAGTGGAACAAAAACGATTTTATGAAAACCTGTATAAATCAGATTGTGAAATAGATGATGACATAAAAGCTGTATTCGAAAATATTGTCACTCCTGTAAATAAAGAGCAGTCAAATGAACTAGAGCGTGACATTAGTGTTAAAGAACTTTCCCATGCTGTTAAATCAACCAAAAATAAGTCCATGTTTAGATGGTTTCCCTATCGAATTCTTTAAATTTGTCTGGAAAAATCTGAGCATTTGGAAGAAACGAAACTTTCAAGAAGAATTCTATGACTATGACAATGAATAGAGGAGTAATTACATGTATCCCTAAACCAGATAATGATGCCATTTGGTGTAGATTTGTTTATAAGAGTTTATATATATGGTAATAAGACTGATGAAGCATTTGCTGACACAAAGTGACATAGAACTGTTGAGGATATTCCTAGAACACTAGCCATTGTCAAACTCAACATATCTATTCCCTTGATCAAGGAAATGTTCTATGTAACAATAGCGATGTTAATGAAATACTCATGCAACTACTATGGCTAAATCACCAGCGTACCCAGCCAAGCGTCATCATTCATAACTGGTTTAACTGTGGAGTAGTTTATATTAGAGACTGACTGACTGACTGAGTTTGGTTTTACGCCGCTTTTAGCTTTTTTGGGCTTCACACATTGTACCCATGTGGGGATTCGAACCCGGGTCTTCGGCGTGACGAGCCAACGCTTTAACCACTAGGCTACCCCACCGTCCCTTATATTAAAGATATTTGAAACGACCACGATTTTCTAACATTTGCGGAACTTAAAGGAAAATTAAGGCATTCAGGGTACTGTACTTGGTTTTAATCGTGTTCTGCTTAGTATACCCAAACAGTGGAAAGAAGTTATACGAACAAAAACAATTTTTTAATATACCGATGGTATCTATGACTTCTCCTTGGTATGATTTGATGAAACCTAGTAAAAGCTCAAGGATATTCTATGATAATTTCATATCTGATTACAACATTCCAATTGTGTGTCTCAAACGGAACGGGGGACTAAATGATTTGATAAATTGGAAAACCATATTTTCACAATATAGACAATCCACTAAAGACACGAAACTCTTAGATTTTCAATATAAGTTTTTGCACAGAGCCATTTACACTAAACGAGAACTACTAAAAATGAAATTGATAGATAATGACCTGTGGACAGTATGTGGTTCAGTAAGTGAGCATATTTACCATGTATACCTTGATTGTCCAATCATCAAAATGTTCTGGACAGATTTTAACAATTTTGTAACTCAAGTCCTTGGGAAAACGTATGAAACGTCAAACCATGATATTCTATTTTGTTGCTGTGGTAACCATTTACTAAACCACATGATATTATTGTCAAAGCGCCACATTTTCGTAATGAATATAGAAGGACACAAACCTAGCTTCACAATCTACAGAACATTACTAAAGGACGTTTATGAGATTGAGAAATTTATAGATATCCAAATAAAAAATAAATGTACCTCCAATTTGCTGTCCACAATCTATCTTTAACACTATGAAGCAACGACATCATTCTTTGATCCACGGAACCCTTGTTAGCAAACGCAGAGAGCACAGGGAAAGTTACACGTCAATATGTAGAGGTTCAGGACAATATACAACTTATCATGCTAATGAAAGCAAATGTCACCAAGTGATACGGACCTTCTCCCCCCTGGACTTGGGGGGGGGGGGGGGAGAGAAAGAACATTCACCAGTGTGGCTGTAAGGTACATTCATCTGATGTGCAGAGAAGTCACACAGCACTAAGCAGTGCACCCAGCTTTCTGAGAGACTCTATGTCACATAACAATGTGACTGGTGTAAATATTACCTTTTGCAACTTGTACTTTGTACTCTCCCAACTTGGAGGATAAATAAAGAATATATATATGGGCACCATTTCTGCTCCACACCCTGCGAATCTGTTGCTTATGTTTACTGCCGGGGGTGCAAAATCAAAACAACCAGTAATTAGATCAAGACGTTTAACTAAAGCTTTATGTGTGCCTTTGAACTGTTACCCTTCAGTAACAGTAAAATAGCCAATTCACATTTCTACTGATTTGCCTACCTGAAATATGATCTACCATCTAATATCAGTGTTGTGGCATCTGCAAGTTGAGATACACGAAATTCCGTATTTCCAATGGTAATTCCTTTTATTTGGGGGTTAGTCCTTAATATGTGATGCTAGTATTTCTGCACATAACAGAAAAAATATACGGGGATAAGGTATCTCCCTGTCCGCAGCCGCTAGTCAGACTGAAGTAGTCAGTTACAGAACCATTTACTAGTACGATTGATTTAATGTCTTTATAGAATGTATGTATCCAATGTTTGAATGAATTTCCGAAATTAAAAAAAGAATCCATTACTTTCGAAATAAAGTTCCATTCAACTGAGTCGAATGCCTTTTCGAAATCAATTTAAAGTAAGATTCTTGGTATTTCCATGTAATCTTTATAGTCCATATTGTCGTATCTGAGGCGTGTACATTCACATGATTTGATTTACTTATTTAAATCAGCCCAGAAGAATTTATAACATTCTGCTGTGAAGCCAGAAAGGCCAGGGCTTGTGATATTTTTCAAAGGATTAAACACTTTATCGTACGTCAATTCCCAAGACTTATTGGTCATGCTTTCCAGCATATTGGAAGTCAGTTGTCCAGTTTTACCAAGTGTAGATTGTATAAACATATTATTGATATTTTTACTTTACCACATTATTTAAAAAAATCAATTCCTGCAAGTTATACAAAGTATTTGTCTAATTTTCGACCATATTTTCATGTTAACAACCGATTAGCTGTACAGCTAAAAGTAAATAAAGAATTGAACTGAATTGAGTTAAAACTATTTAAGAAAACATGTAGTCTAATCCAATACAAGCTGATCCCTTTATCAATGAACTTGGACTCTCCCAGAGTGTTAACATGGGCTGAAAGTCGACCGATTAGCACAGAACCACTCAAGCATAATTCGACGGATGGGCACTGCTGACTGTTCAAAATTCGACGGATAAGGCCGTAATCTATGAAATGCATGTGAAGACTACGTCATAGTGTTCGTAACGAGTTTTACGATTATTACCGAAGATTTACCTCTATGTACAGATACATTTGGTATAAACGCAAGTGTTAGGAGTCTACTCCCGTGGTACATTCACATTTCTCCATCTGCACGTGATCGTGGATGTCACAAGAAATCACAGGTCACACCTATTCTCACGAAATCTGCATTATGTGTAAGTTTACGTGTCCCCGCATAAAATACACTTTTGATTGACTTCACCCGTTCATTTCAAGTTTATATTTGACGGTAAGGCTTGGTAGGTACCCGAGATGGGCACGGGGTCGGTCGGGAAAAGGCAAATGTCCAACTTTTTGTCGTAATTAAGTCTTAATTAATCTAATTAAGTCATCGAGAGTGTTCCCAATGCCGTTTTGCTATAGCGAAACTACCTGCCGAGATGCATGCAAAATTTCACGAAAATCGGTCAAATAATTTAGGAAATAATCACTTTTTAGTGAGTTTTGGGTCGGTCTGGCGAAACGCTAACAATCCAACGTATTGTCGTACTTGTTATATATTATCGAGGCGAGAGGAATTGTAGCTGTAGTAGTAGCTGTTGTGTCCACGCCTGTACCTGACCCTGTACTATCTGTTGTTTCCACGTGTGTACCTGACCCTCTACTAGCTGTTGTTTCCACGTGTGTACATGACCCTGTATTAGCTGTTGTGTCCACGCCTGTACCTGACCCTCTACTAGCTGTTGTTTCCACGTGTGTACCTGACCCTGTACTATCTGTTGTGTCCACGCCTGTACCTGACCCTCTACTAGCTGTTGTTTCCACGTGTGTACATGACCCTGTATTAGCTGTTGTTTCCACGTGTGTACCTAAGTCTGTACTAGCTGCTGTTTCCACGCCTGCAGCTGACCCTGTACTAGCTGTTGTTTCCACGTGTGTACCTGCCTCTGTACTAGCTGTTGTTTCCACGTGTGTACCTGACTCTGTACTAGATGTTGTTTCCTCGTGTGTACCTGACCCTGTACTAGCTGTTGTTTCCATGTGTGTACCTGACTCTGTACTAGATGTTGTTTCCACGTGTGTACCTGACTCTGTACTAGTTCTTGTGTCCAAGTTTGTACTTGACTCTGTACTAGCTGTTGTTTCCACATGTGTACCTGACCCTGTAGTAGTTGTTGTTTCCACGTGTGTACCTGACTCTGTACTAGCTGTTGTTTCCACGCCTGTAACTGACTCTGTAGTACCTGTTGTTTCCTCGTGTGTACCTGACTCTGTACTAGCTGTTGTTTCCACATGTGTACCTGACCCTGTAGTAGCTGTTGTTTCCGCGTGTGTACCTGACTCTGCACTAGCTGTTGTTTCCACGTGTGTAACTGACTCTGTACTAGCTGTTGTTTCCACGTGTTTATTACCCACGTGGTCAACGTATGAGTACGTGCATACTAATCTCGTACGTCATACGAGTGTTGTATCGTGTTGACCTGTGTCGTAGCGACTCGACCTGAGATTCTAACGATTTGTTTGGATAACCGATGACCTCTCAATTAGGTCACGTTGTGACGGAACTACTTTTTCATTCTTAACAAACACGTTACTTCATTCATTGTAAAACTTGTATGCATTGTGGGAATGTAAACATTGCGAACGTTGCCGTGTCGCTGTTTAATTGTGAGTCGAACTGAGGCATTATATGCATCGAAAAACATAAACGCAAAGTTTCCACCAGTGATGTTAGCCAAATGAATCAAGTGCAAACTTAGAGACGGGGTGCTACGGAGTAGCTTAATGTGGGAGGCTGTACGAGGCGATGACAACTGACATGCATCGTGACGTCGGTTACCAAGGGGGCAGACGAGCAAGCACACTCCGGTGCAGTGATGACTTAGCATAACATACTATGCTGGCTGGCCGCATGGAACTATGGGTAGGAGAGTGACGAGCAAGGCGTAGCGACGTCATTACAGTGTGACGTCATGCAAAAGGTGTACTACAGAACAACATTCTTCCGCAACCTCTTTATGAAACCGGTTTCGGTTTGAAACCATAACAAAAACAAAAATACGCTTTTTCGTCAATTTAAAGCATGTAAGACGTGGGTAATAAATAAAATACCCCACTCGGTCTCACAACATACGAATTATACGAAACTCGTGACCTTCCTATGGTTTCTGACCTCGCTTTCGCTCGGTCAGATGCCATAGAGAAGACACTCGTTTCGTATAATTCGTATGTAATGAGACACCGTGTAGTATTCTCTATGTACCTGACCCTGTACTAGCTGTTGTTTCCACGTGTGTACCTGACCCTGTACTAGACGCCTGTCCTGTAATTATAATGATTACAAATGTCTTGTAATTATAACAGCTACTTATGTCCTGTAGTAATAATGACAAATGGCCTGTAATTATAACGGTTACAAATGTCCTGTCATTATAATGATGAGTAATGTCCTGTAATTATAATGACTAATTTCCTGTAATTTTAATGGTTACAAATGTCCTGTCATTATAATGATCACAAATGTCCTGTCATTATAATGATCACAAATGTCATGTAATTTTAATGGTTACTAACGTCCTGTATTTTTTATGATCATAAATGTCCTGTAATAATATGATGACTAATGTCCTGTAATTATAATGATGACTAATGTCCTGTAATTATAATGATGACTAATGTCATGTAATTATAATGATGACTAATGTCATGTAATTTTAATGATGACTAATGTCATGTAATTTTAATGTTACAAATGTCCTGTTATAATGTCCTGTAATAATAATGATGACTAATGTCCTGTAATTATAATGATGACTAATGTCCTGTAATTTTAATGGTTAAATGTCCTGTAATTTTAATGTAATTATTATGATCACAAATGTCCTGTAATTTTTAATGGTTACAAATGTCCTGTAATTATAATGATGACTAATGTCCTGTAATAATAATGATGACTAATGTCCTGTAATTTTTTTAATGATGACTAATGTCCTGTAATGATTATAAATGTAATTTTAATGGTTACTAATGTCCTGTAATTATAATGGTTACTAATGTCCTGTAATTATAATGTCTAATGTCCTGTAATGGTTACAAATGTCCTGTAATTATAATGATAATTATAATGTCTAATGTAATTTTAATGGTTACAAATGTCCTGTAATTATAATGATGACTAATGTCCTGTAATTTTAATGGTTATGATGTATTTAATGTCCTGTAATTATAATGATGACTAATGTCCTGTAATTATAATGATGACTAATGTCCTGTAATTATAATGATGACTAATGTCCTGTAATGATATGATGACTAATGTCCTGTAATTTTAATGATGACTAATGTCATGTAATTTTAATGGTTACTAATGTCCTGTATTTCTTATGATCACAAATGTCCTGTAGTTATAATGGTTACAAAAGTCCTGTAATAATATGATGACTAATGTGCTCTAATAATAATTATGACTAATGTCCTGTAATTTTAATGATGACTAATGTCCTGTAATTATAATGATTTCTAATGTCCTGTAATTATAATGGTTACAAAAGTCCCGTAATTATAATGATTACTAATGTCCTGTAATTTTAATGGTTACAAAAGTCCCGTAATTATAATGATTACTAATGTCCTGTAATTTTAATGGTTACTAATGTCCTGTATTTCTTTTAATGGTTACAAATGTCCTGTAATTGTAATGATTACAAATGAGAGTAGATATCACCAAACATTCCACACATCTAATCATCTGATATCATTCCTTGTGCTTTACATGATATCCTCTGAAATGTTTGAGATAATATTGATCAGTGACAGCCAAAGATTATGAAAACTGTGAAAATGAAAGAAATATTGAATTCCTTGGCGTCACCCTTTACCTTGGTTTTCGACATTATAACGAATACTGATCATTCTTTCATCATAGTCCTAAGACTTTATAGATTTACCGTTGAACTGAAAGTCAACAACCTTGGAATGAACAAGACAATCTACATGCAACAGCTGAAAACATGTTCATACCATTCCTACACGACGATGTAAGTTTATAAGATGACTGCTGTGGAGTATATATCTTTCTGACTAGGGGGAAGATAGGTAGCCCAGTGGTTAAAGCGTTCGTTCGTCACGCCGAAGGCCCCCTGCTCGATTCCCCACATGGGTGCAATCTGTGAAGCCCATTTCTTGCGCCCCCCGCAGTGATATTGCTGGGACATTGCTAGACCAATCACTGGTTATGACGAGATATAGGGAATACCACTATTGTGATTATGAGTTGGGTTGAACAATAGTTTAGTTATATCAAGGCAAATTACTGTGACAATATTGTGTCATAGGGGTGAGACAATTGGTTGGAGACAGGGTGATTTTTTTTTGTCTCTGAAAGCCCCAAAACATTTAACGTTTTGATGACGTCACAATGCTATGACATCGCTGCACTGCAATTCTAATGGCAGTACCGTGTTCAGAGATGCACATTTTTCATTGAAAACTAATGAAGAGTAATTTTGATGATAAATGGAATCTCACCCTCGTGTCTACTGATATCAATTATATCAACACTCGTTGATACAAGTAAAAATATCCTCGGCAGGCCTCGGATATTTGTAACTTTATCAACTCGTGTTGATATAATTGATATTAGTTCACATGATTAACACATGGGTGAGATTCTCTATATACCATTAAAACAAAGTAGGGGATATTCCATTTTGCGAGCATACCACTAGCCAATGCCAATGCATATGAGAAAAAGTAATATATAACCATACAGATGAAACATTCCCAAAGGAATTAAATAAATTGTCACACTTTCCCTTAATTTCTCTTCATCATCTCGTTCCTCCTTGGCTTCTTCATTTGCATTTTATCAATCTTGTAAATCCAATATTCCCTACTTTTGAATGGTTTATATCATGATGATGATTATGTTTGTATGAATCACTATCGCATGCTGATGATAATAGATGGCACGTCGTAAACACATGCAAAGGTTAGTCAAGTGTAAGGCTGAAACAAAACACGGACCACATTTTCAGAACATCCAATAATTACTGCAAATTAATGTGGTGGAAAAAAAGAGGACAGGAATTGCAGGAGCCTGGTCATCTCATTGCTCATGATCATTTACCAAAGCACAAGCATCACGAAAATTCCTATAGCGTTGGTTAGCTGAATAATACCATGGGTCAAGCAACGACTTAAACTGTCTAAAGAAATCATGTTTGGAACTTCAATGACCGATAACTGCCATTCCTTTTTAAACATATCCATGGCACACACGCGGAACTGTCTCTAAAATATATGCATTGCCAACTGTCTGGATAACCAAAATAAAGCCAAATATAGGATATATGATGCCAAAGTGTTCTTACCAAGATTATCAAGATGTACAAGCATGTTGTAGAGCTATTAAGGCAAGCAATGTACAGACATATTATTTATTTTACACCAATATACCATATCTCAGATCCATAAAGTAAAATAGGTTGTATTCTAGAATCAAAGAATAAATATTCGCTGGAAAAACACCAAACTTAGGAATCAAAGAGTGAAGTTGTAAAAAAGAATATTTCTTTGCTCTGATCATCAGGTTAATTACAGAGTTATTCAAATCCAGCTTATTTATACTCGTTTACAACATTCAAGAGTTTACCTTCCTCTCCAGCGGCCATTGACCCATCTCTGCGAAATATAACAGTATTTGTTTGATCAAATTTCACATCAGGCGTTAGTCATCTGATTACTCTGTAACTGTATCAAGCTGGTTTTGAATGCTCATGTGTATAGTGTATCAAAACACGAAGCCATGGCACCTAGAAGGGTGCAGCTGTCTCCTCTTAGCTCTCAGATAAAATACGAGAAATCGGTTAAAATCGGATTTGGCGTCCCTTAAAGACTCTCGAAAAAACAATACGATAAATGAGATAAGATAGTAGTTTATTATACCAAGCGAAATGTGTGCTACATGTTTACATGAAAAACATAGTGATTAATAATATCAAACAAACATTGACACTGATGGTAAAAAAAAAGTGAATAATTAATTCCGAGTTTCTAAGAATAAGAGGGGCGGTGGGGTAGGATAGTGATTAAAGCGTTCGCTCGTCCAGGGCCCGGGTTCGATTCCCCCCATGGGTACACATGGGTACAATGTGTGAAGCCCATTTTCTGGTGTCCCCCCGCCTTCATATTGCTGGCATATTGCTAAAAGCGGCGTAAAACCATATTCATTCAATAACTCCAAGGGCAAAAGGGGAGTCAAGGCATTTAGAAACGTTTCAAAATAGCAATTGACACAAATTAAGCTGATCATCGATCGATATCCCATGTTTCGCTGAAATATGTTGAACGTTTTTTTTATGTTCTGGCTAGTGAATTCTACCCTCGTTTGGAACTAATCACTGGTAATGAAGTTGATATTAATTAATAAAACGTCCCCTTGTTCTATAAATTCTAGAACAGTGCATTATTGGAGCGTTTTGGGGAATGGTAATTTTACCCTAAATGACGTATGTTAGTACACGGTATATTGTGCTGGAGGATATCAGTAATATGCGAAAAAATCACTGGCTACATGAAAATGTTGCATCTTAGCCTCTGATTTGACAAACGGTTAGACCCTCCAGTTATATAATTTTGTGTTTCTATAAAATATATGCCTGAATTTTCATCCCATGGACTGTCTAGTTGTTAAGGAAGCTTATATCATGACCCAACGTTTATCGTTACTCGTTTTGCTTACAGTAGTACGGTGCTTCAGTACCAGTAGAAGAGTATTTTAGAAAAGAGTTTCAGAGAATTTTGGCTGGGGACAGTGAGACACTGGACCGCATCTGGAATGGGAGCATATATCTGTATATGTGAACAGCCCGACGGTGAAAACTATGCTTGTATGATAAAATGATGTCCAAAAGAAAACATTTTTAACAAAACATTTTTTCAATATATTTTTAATAAAGCATTCCTTTTTGTATGAATACATGTTTAGGCGTTTCCAACGTTCCAAACCAAACGTATTCGATCGAAAAATCCGGGAACATTTGGTCAATTGCGAACAAAACACCCACTCTGCCAAAATGATGTTACATCCGGCAGCACGAAATGCATGTGCAGTTCAACTGTGTAAAACTGCTGACTCGACACGTTGGGATCAAAGCAACAAAAAGCAAACAAAGAAGTGCCACGTTTGACAGGTATTGAGGGAGAGAGAATCGTTGGAGTGGTCCAACAGGGAGCAACGCACACCGACGTCGCTAGAAGGTGAGGATGCGCGCGTATAACCGTCATCAGGTTAATGCAGCGGTTGTGTCAAACAGGTTGGACAAGAGACAGGCCGAGAAGCGGGAGACCAAGGGTGACCACGCCTATTGAAGACCGTCTCATCCTGGTACTTCATCTCCGGAACCGCTTCATCACGGCCACGATAACGGCAAGGACGGCACTGCAACACGTGATCAGTCGACAGACCGTGTACAAGAGACTGCAGGCTCATGGTATCCGAGCACGTCGCTCCTATCGCGGAGCGTTCCTGACACCCCAACAGCGAGCCAACAGACTGGTGTGGGCCAGGTGACTTTGACGTTGGCATCGGCGTGACTGGGCACGGGTCATGTTTTCCTACAAGTGCAGAATTTGCATCTTCAGGAACGATGCTCGGCAGCGTGTGTACCGAAGAATTTGTGAACGTTTGGCCATTCGGAGGCGGAGGTTTAATGGTTTAGGGTGGAAATTGCGGTGACACCAAAACAAGGCTCGTCGTTTTTCTAGGAAACCTGAATGCACAGCGTTATCGAGATGAAATTTTACAACCAGTTGTGGAGCCATTCATCCAACAACAGCCTCGTGGAATCATTTTCCAGCACAATAATGCGAGGCCACATACGGCAAGGCTGACTCAGAACTTCCTCGCCATCGCCAACATTCAGGTTGTATAAAAGGCAAACAATATGGATGACAACTTCTTCTTTCTTGTATGTCACAACGTTTCTGGGCTATTCATTGCCCCTTCGTCAGGGGCACAATTCACCTGACGAAGGGGCAAGGAATAGCTGTGGCATACAATAAAGAAGAAGTTGTCATAATATTTGCCTTTTATTTAAGACGTGTGTTGTGACATTTTCCCCACTTGCCTCGTCATATGTGTTTGAATGAAATTGTCATTTTGGATCCCTCGCGTCTTTACAGGCCTGTCCGAATGATTGTAAAAGATTGATTGAAATAATTTTTTGTACACGCGTTAGAGAAATATTTCTAAAATGAAATATACCAATCTTAAATTTCTGTATCGTTTTGCTTTTCTTTAATGTCAATTCAAACACGTGGTATCGTTTCTTTTGGACATTATTTTACTTAATGTAATGATATGAAGATACTGCAAAATACAGAACTTCGTCGTGTCTTTTTTATGGGTATTAGTAAACAAACGATTTGACTTTATCTATTTCCTGCAATGAAGGAACGGTCTTTTGGAAATTTGGCAGCTTCCGGTAGCGCCCCTTCCCATCCTCGGGTGACCTCGAACTCTCCGGATCGTCTTTAATGCAAGTCGAAATCTGAAAATATACATACAAATCAATTCGGTAAAACAATTCGAACATAAATATAGTATACTCTGCAAGAAAAGTCATCATTAGTTTGATCCTCACCTGATGTCGTTTTCTGTAGATGAGAAAGAGAATGGCACATGCTATCAGCACCAGAGCGGGATACAGGAGCTTCTTGAGCCAACCTATGACAGCGTGCAAAGTGAAAACTCTAATGAGAAATATGTAAAGGAAACTTTGTACCAGCTCGTACACTGCAGCTGGTCCTGACATTTACTTGTGATGATACTTCCGGTTGATAATACCGCGATCACCGGTGCGTGTCATGGGTGAAGCTTTATGGAACGGTCGATATGATGTATTTTGTTGCAATCGACCGCTTTGAAACTTAAAGAAATATCTCTTAATTATCTCTTTGGATTAATTTTCATTTTAACAACTGTACCTTTGTGTTAAATATTAAGTAAGGAATATGGACTATTATTTTATCATCTAATGGAGTTTGTTATCGGTGCAATAAAGCAATCTGATAAACTTGGTATCCAAATCTGATAACGATGCAAATTACGCCAATCCACGAACTATACTGAGAGGCGTTAAAAACGCATATTGGATTTTCTACTCTAAGTCCGTTTTAGAGATGTTGCTGTTTCCAAAACTACAATATGGTGAAAACATATGGTTAAGAAATGCACAGCTCTGATGTTTAGGTTCGAATCCCACGTTTTCAAATCACAGGCACGTGAAATCTCAAACGCACCCAAGAGCATGTGCGATGACAATGCAGTTGGATGAACAGAAAACCATGGTGCACGTGCAATGTGCACACTCAGCTCCCATAAAAGCACAGGTTGAGAAATGGCTTTCATTCACATTCACGATGCCACGGTTGACCAACGCCCAAAGGAACCAAGCAATTGGAATGCTGCATGCTGGCCAAACACAGAGAGATGTTGCTAATCACTTCCACGTCCACCAGACGACCATTTCGAGGCTACAGCAACGTCATAGGGCAACGCCAAATGTCCAAGACCATCCATGTCCGGGAGCGCCTCGTGTGACGTCACAAAGGCAAGATCGGTACATCGTCGTTAGTCATCTTCGGAATCGCTTCAGGTCTGCACGAGAGACTGCAAATGCCACGATAGGAACGAGAGGACGTTCCATCAGTGACCGGACAGTACGCCGTCGCCTTGCTGCACGTCACATCCGATGTCGTCGACCCTATCGTGGACAGATCCTCACCCATGCACATCGCCTAAATCGTCAACGTTGGGCAGCTGCTGGAGGCTATCTTGGTGCTAGACAGTGGCGAGATGTCATCTTCACAGATGAATCACGTTTCAACGTCAGTTTCCCTGATGGTCGGCTACGTGTCTATCGCTGTAATCATGAACGTTTTGCTCAGCCTTGTGTCATTGAGCGTGATCGCTTTGGTGGTGGTGGAGAAAATTAACGTCAACTTCCGCTCTGACTTGGTTGTTCTTCAAGGGAACCTCAACGCCCGACGGTACATTGACAACGTGTTGCAACCAGTGCTTCTGCCATTGATGGGTCGACACGGACGACATCGCCTCGTGTTCCAACACGACAATGCCAGGCCACATACGGCTAAGATAACACAGGACTGTTTGCATCAGAACAATGTGGATGTCTTGAACTGGCCCTCGCGATCATCCGGTTTTAATCCGATCGAACATTTGTGGGATGAACTTGGGCGCCGTGTGAGACGTCAGTTGAATCCTCCCCAAAGTGTAGCTGAGTGACACAAGCTTTGCAGTTTCACTGGAGAGCCGTTCCACAAGCTTTGATTCGGAGATTGTGCTTGTCAATGCCTGGCAGACTCCGGGCTTGCATGGCTGCCCAAGGAGGACACACACAGTATTGAAATGTGTCATCTGACAGTTGTGTGTTCTCATACCACTTGTTTTGGAGATGCTCGCAAAGACATTGTTGCATCCGTAATCCTCTGTAAACACTGCAGTATTGCTTACAAGTCATCACCATGCCTTTTCCTCTACCGCCATATGTAATTTTTTGACATATGAGAAATATATCTGACATTTCTTCCTCATATGCGTTTTTATTGCCTCTCAGTATATTTTTACAAAACTCCATACACGCCATGCGAATCCTAAAACGTTTAACATTTCATTGATGACGTCGTCACGAGTTTACATTGTTAGTAAACAAACATGGCTGCCCCCATTCTCAAAATTGGTGATTCTGTAAGAATTGATGACTGAGGTTCTTGAGTCGTTACTGCAGTAATTGACTTTGGACAACATGAAACGGAGTTCTTCGTTCACATTGAAGGTACGGATTATGAGGCACGACTGAAAGGCAATCGTCTAAGAAACGTACCAACCAAGGATTTCGATCTATAGATCACAATGCAGACGACGAATCGATTCCGTCAGGTATCAGAAACTGATATTGATGAGGTGATTACCCGCAATGAAAATAGAAACACTGCCAGGAAAACCCTGCCCGGTTTTGTTGTTCCTTTTAGACAGAAAGATATCATTTTAAGCATGAGTTTTGTTTGCACTGTATTAGTCACAACCATACGCCGCCGTCATGAACGACCTTCACCTTGCTGTACCGCTAAGTATTCTTACGCGAATGCTCGATTCTCTTCATATAAATTCACGTACGATTTGCTTCTTTTTTTAGAGTAATTTTAATAATGACATTATATGATCAAGAGATTATTAACCTCGTGTGTTTCCGTATCATTTATATCATATATTAGGAATAAAAAATTATGTATTATGCTCGCCATAGGCTCGCATAATACAATTTTTATTCCTAATATATATTAATAATAGGGAAACACACGAGGTTATAATCTCTATGTATTACTGACACTATTCAATACATTAAAAATCTAAAACCTTATTATGCTGTACATGTAATTGGAACTTGAAACGTTGTTGCAGTCACAATTGTCTTTGAGCATTTCTGGTGACCCTCGCCGTGATGTAGCTGGAATATTGCTAAAAGCGGCGTAAAACCAAACTCAGTCAGTCAGTCAGTCTTTGAGTGTCTGCTTGTTTTGCAATGTTATTTTTGATGTAATTATGGAGATAGATTGTGGAAAATTGTCAATACCAAAGCGTTGTTAAATAATAACACCTGTGAAAATAAAGATACCTGTTATGTCCGCTTTGGGGGGTTCAGTCGAGCCGTTTGTTGCGACTTTTGTGTGATTCGCTGGCGGCGGTGTTGTCGGAACTGCTGCCGGGCCTGTTGTCTGATTCGCTGGCGGCGGTGTTGTCGGAACTGCTGCCGGGCCTGTCGGGTGTGTTGTCGGGGTTACTGTTGTAATCGCGTCCAAAAAATTAGTGGGCCCTGAAATATCAAAGACAGGATTAAGGGACTTTTTTTTCTGTCTTCTGTTCGTTTCTATCCAGGGCGCCACCTCTACATCGAGATTTAAATCCTATCGGGTTTCAGACATATTAATTTCAATATGTTGGATACTAACATAAATGATGTCGTTGGTACTTATTCTAACTATTCCCGGTTTTCACGTAGGCTAGTTCGTACTTGTGTGCCAAAGCTGGTCCTATTGTATCAAATACATTGTACATTTTTATGTGGACATTCAAAGAGCTCCGATCTGATCACACATCGAAATTATTCGGCTTTCTTTGCAACAAAATGTTTGTCTAGTCTGTATCCAGTTTATTTATGATTTCGGTATTTTAAAGCGACAAAACCCTTGTAGGACGTAAATTTTTATTACAATTTACCGCAGTGTTATTACAATTTACCGCAATATTATAACAATTTGCCGCAGTGTTATTACAATTTGCCGCAGTGTTATTACAATTTACCGCAGTGTTATTACAATTTACCGCGTTATCACAATTTACCGCAGTGTTATTACAATTTACCGCGTTATCACAATTTACCGCAGTGTTATTACAATTTACCGCAGTGTTATTACAATTTACCACAGTGTTATTACAATTTACCGCAGTGTTATTACATTTTACCGCAGTGTTATTACAATTTACCGCAGTGTTATTACAATTTACTGCAGTGTTATTACAATTTACCACAGTGTTATTACATTTTAATGCAGTGTTATTACAATTTACCGCAGTGTTATTACAATTTGCCGCAGTGTTATTACAATTTACCTCAGTGTTATTACAATTTACCACAGTGTTATTACAATTTACCGCAGTGTTATTACAATTTGCCGCAGTGTTATTACAATTTACCACCGTGTTATTACAATTTACCGCAGTGTTATTACAATTTGCCGCAGTGTTATCACAATTTGAGAAAGTGCTATTGCAATTTACCGCGTTATCACAATTTACTTCAGTGTTATTACAATTTACCGCAGTGTTATTACAATTTACCGCAGTGTTATTACAATTTACCACAGTGTTATTACAATTTACCGCAGTGTTATTACAATTTGCCGCAGTGTTATTACAATTTACCAGTGTTATTACAATTTACCGCAGTGTTATTACAATTTGCCGCAGTGTTATTACAATTTACCGCAATATTATAACAATTTGCCGCAGTGTTATTACAATTTGCCGCAGTGTTATTACAATTTACCACAGTGTTATCACAATTGACCGCAGTGCTATTGCAATTTACCGCGTTATCACAATTTACTTCAGTGTTATTACAATTTGCCGCAGTGTTATTACAATTTACCACAATATTATAACATTTGCCGCAGTGTTATTACAATTTGCCGCAGTGTTATTACAATTTACCGCAGTGTTATCACAATTGACCGCAGTGCTATTGCAATTTACCGCGTTATCACAATTTACTTCAGTGTTATTACAATTTACCGCAGTGTTATTACAATTGACCGCAGTGTTATTACAATTTACCGCGTTATCACAATTTACGTCGTAACACACCCTCTCCATATCAACAAGCAAGAACTTCTGAAACAGAGAACGATTCCGACTTTATCATAGTATGTGTTTATGAATCACTATCACATGTAAAGATAAGTCAGTTGTTCACCTGAAGAGGGACATTTTGCCAGGAATCATTTCAGTAACTGATGCAGGGGTTGAAAAATACCATTGCCCGACGCTCGGGCCGAGTGGAAATCTCCGGTCGGTCAAGTTAATATCCAAATTAAACTTTACCGTGGAACAGTAGTGCCAAACTATTGAAATGTTTTGATTTATGTATATTGATGATGAAATACAAATGCAATTCCTACCAACTGATAAAGATTATTTGCAAAAGAAACCAAATTATTAATTGTGGTCAAGTGAAATTAATATTTGGTCAAGTGGATTTTGAAAGTTTACTGGACCTGTGTCCAGTGGAGTTTTGAAAAAAAACTTCAACCCCTGCTGATGCATCAAATTTGGAACCTTCCCACATGGTTCCTATAAACTCTTTTGAATCTCTCCTGAGGCCTTTAAAGGTCTAACATTGATCAAACATTTACTGACAAAGATTGGTATGGCTCAGGTTAAAGTCTTCGGAGAAAGAACATGCTTGGTTGCACCTCAAAGACCAATGACTGCACTATTTGAAGATTAATCTGTGCTAAGGGACAGTTGACTAATGGAAAGTTGATGTCAATCCCCTTGTTCTTTAAGGCTTGAGTAATGTTCTCACTTCAAATCTTTATGCAGAGAACCCGTAAAGATCCGGGTTAGATTTGGTCTTACTTGCCGTAAGAGGCGACTAACGGGATCGGGTGGTCAGGCTCACTGACTTGGTTCACACATGTCATCGTATCCCAGCTGTGTATATCGATGCTCATGATGTTGATCACTGGATTGTCTGGTCCAGACGCGATCGTTTGCAGAATTATTGCTGAGTGTTGCGTTAAACCACAAACGAAACTTTTGCAAAGGCAAATGTGTGAAACGTATGAGACGGTTCCGTTGGCCTCTGTCATCTAAAGATGGGGGCGGTGGGGTAGCCAAGTGGTTAAAGTGTTCGCTCGCCAAATGAATGCATAGTTTATATCAAATAAAAACAAGTTGAAGTACGTTTCAGACTCTTTTAAAACTGACAAGAAAAATAAAACCCAGATAAAGTAAACAGTTAAAACATACACTATATGAAACTGCAAGTCTGCACTCAAACATCCTGTATTTTGCGCTGCGCATTTATCAACGGATGTCAATGACTAAACTATCGATAGTCGCACATACTATGATTGCATTGATATTTTTGTTTCTTGTATCGATTAGTAGCTATCGGTGACTCAACAACTTCAATCCATCGATAGTTCGATGCGGGCGGGCGGGCGGGCGGACAACTACGGACGGACGGAAACCGATTTAAGTACTTGGGTTATTTTTATCGAAGCATCTCAATCCTTACGTGCATTCTGATTGTTTTGTCGTATTTTCGATAATAACATTCACCAATGGGGGACGAATCTTCTTGCAGTTAACGGAACGGTGTGACAGGTAACGAATGCTCCTTGTTCATGTTGTTGTGTCTGTAAACTGTTCGCGCTTACTCTTATAGTTGCACTGCGAGAATAGAAACACGACCCGTGTTGTTCATGTTGTTGTGTCTGTCTGTAAACTGTTCGCGCTTCACTCTGTACAGTTAAGTTGCACTGAGAATAGAAACACGACCCGTGTTGTTCATGTTGTTGTGTCTGTAAACTGTTCGCGCTTACTCTTATAGTTGTACTGCGAGAATAGAAACACGACCCGTGTTGTTCATGTTGTTGTGTCTGTAAACTGTTCTCGCTTACTCTTATAGTTGTACTGCGAGAATAGAAACACGACTCGCCTTGTTCATGTTGTTGTGTCTGTAAACTGTTCTCGCTTACTCTTATAGTTGCACTGCGAGAATAGAAACACCACTCGCGTTGTTCATGTTGTTGTGTCTGTAAACTGTTCTCGCTTACTCTTATAGTTGCACTGCGAGAATAGAAACACGACTCGCGTTGTTCCAACAGCACCACAAGTGTTTCACACAGCACAGGTTTAAAAAGTAAATTCTATATGATAAAGTTGATAACATATCATGTTTATAGAAACATTGGTATACATTTTATTACACATAATTACTGGCCATTTATTACCATAGACAGAGGACGTGCTGATCATTCATAGATAGGACCGTTATTAGGAAACGTTTTGCTGAATAACATTTGTAGATATTATAAGCACTGTCAGACAAAAAACAAACAATGACTTCACCTTTGTGTCATGATGGTTATCTGTTTGGCACAGATATACTGAGGGGAAAAAAATAAGGGATCACATGAAAGCACAAGTGTTCCTTATTTTTTTTCCTCAGTATATTATTTCACGATGTGTTCCCAAACATTCAAAACGCATGAGACCCGTGAACATCCGGGTTAGAATATTGATCTTCAGTAACCCATGCTTGTCGTACGAGGCGACTAACGGGATCGGGTGGTCAGGCGCGCTGACTTGGTTGACATATGTCATCGGTTCCCAATTGCGCAGATCGATGCTCGTGTTGTTGATCACTGGATTGTCTTGTCCAGGCTCAAATATTTACAGACCGCCGCCATATAGCTGGAATATTGCTGAGTGAGGCGTACAACTAAACTCACTCACTCAAAACGCATGGAGACAATGAAAGGATAGCACGATATCGCACCAGGGTCAATTGTGTCAGCGATTCGTAATGTTAAAAATATCTCAGCTTTAGTTATGTTCTCTATCAATCTTACCTGTCAGATATAGAATAAGAAGCAAGCGGCACACCTCATAAGGTCCATTCGCGGAACAGGATGATTCACACTTTTGACCCTGCAGGTGTTTCCTGACCTGAGGACTCAAGTTCAACATGTTCAGTACATTACAAACATCGAGATTGGTGTTCAACATTTGCTTGGTTTCCTCGGCTGTTGCCAGCACCTTAGAAACCTCTGAAGTGCGACATAATCTGTCTACCTCATTTTGATATAGGACACAGATGTCCGGCACGTTTGTCACTTTTGTTTCCTTTACACACTTTTGGAACAGCGACTCATTGACAAATGCTTCATTTGGTGGGTATCCACAGGTTCCCGAATGACTTTTCAGAGCTTCGACATATCCTAGCGGCTGATCTTCAGCATTTCCTAGTGTCAGCACGGATACGACCAATGTTGCACAAAATACCCAGTGTATCTTGTCCGCCATTTTCATGCACAAGAATATAACAGCCGATAACAACCCAACCCGGATTTGAAATGGGAGGCGCTGCTTTATTTGTATTTCTTACCCAGTGGCGAGGTATCATTGCCCGCCATCTCGATAAAGCGCATGTGTATCCGGGTATTTACTTTTCCAACAAAGCTTGTTTTTTTGGGCTATAAACTGCCTGAAGGCTGTATTTATTACTGCATGTGTAGAGCACAGCGAACAACATGACAAACAAAAAGACTGCAGTCATCCAAGGACTTGGTGCATTATATTTGACTGGGTACGCACTAGGGGTTAAAATAAAATATCAATTGGATTGTCATCTATCCATATCACGGGGTTCGAGGACATGTCATCTATCCAAGTCACGAGGTTCGAAGACGTGTCATCTATCCATGTCACGGTACTCCGTGTTCGAAGACTTTTTATCTATGTGTGTCACGGTGTTCGAAGACATGTCATCTATCCATGTCACGGTGTCTGAAGACTTTTTATCTATGCGTGTCACGAGGTTCGAAGACATTTCATCTATCCATGTCACGGTGTTCTAAGACATTTCATCTATGCGTGTCACGGTGTTCGAAGACATGTCATCTATCCATGTTACGAGGTTCGAAGACATGTCAGCTATCCATGTCACGGTGTTCTAAGACATTTCATCTATCAATGTCACAGTGTTCGAAGACATTTCATCTATCCATATCACGAGGTTCGAAGACATTTCATCTATCCATATCATGAGGTTCGGACATGCCATCTATCCGTGTCATGGTGTTTGAAGACATTTCATTTGTCCATGTCCCTTCCGTGCCACCATCCTTTTCCATCGTCTTTCACGAACAAAAACCCAGCAGTATACTGGCGACACCGGAGGACATTTGTGCAGTGTCAAGATAGCTGACCCGTTTAAAACAGGCCCGATCTTTATATCGCTCATACCAATACAACACACACACACACATTTTCACATAGTGTCAGGACATGTATTTGCATCCCGTCATCACATGGCAATCGCTCAGAGGAATCTAACTTGCAGCTTTGCTTAATTTCCTATGCTGGATTGTCACAGGTGGTACATCTTAAAACAAGACAGCGACATGAGTGTGAGCTACGGTAAGTGGCGTTTGTCCGGTTTACAATACAGTGTAGCTCATCATCGTCTTCCTTTTGATGATGTTGTTGATGATGATGTTGATGCTACTGCTGTTGATGTTGTTGATGATGGTAAGGCTGATGATGACAATAATGATGCTGTTGATATTGTTGCTGATACTGCTGATGCTCTTCATGTTGATGGTGTAGATGTCGAGGATGACGAAGTTCATGATTATGCCATACGTGACAAGTTTCGGGTGCAGCTGTTTTAAGTGTGCATGTTTTTGTTTATTTCTATGCATATTTCCAGGACTGCAGGGTGATAGCTGTAGTTATAAGTATAAAGCTTACTGTGTGGTGTAGCAGGGAGTTGGTCCTGAAATATCGTAGGGTAGGATATACCAGAAATGAATATCAGTACGTTGAAAACACATGGAATTAAACGTCTTTAAGGAACTAGAGACAAACAGACTCGTTTATCTAAACGTTCACTTGGCAAGCGAATAGTCAGGCTACATTAAATCAGAACATGACAGCTACACTCTTTATTAGGGCTCCTTTGCCTTTAGGCAGGAGACCTATTGTAATCGTTCGTGTTTTTATTATTATTATTATTATTATTATTATTTATTCTTCCGCCGTATTTTGTAACAGAGCTACAGAGAGCACCGCTGGACAGAATGCCTTGACAAAAATCACCCAGATGCCCACCGAGGTGTAGATATCGCGCTTTAAAATCTCTAGGCTGTAGGCCCAATAGCAAAGGGCAGATAATTCAAAATTAATTCAAAAATTTCAATTTCAAATGCAAATATCTCCGTAACTAATGCTCCAATGTGTGCCAAAGTTCTTGAGCAGATGCGCAATCAAAATGCCTACAATTTCGCCTGGACGGCTCAAGTCGTTAAAATGCACCGTTTGGCCGCTATGTTGAATTGAAGTTTTTGGTGATGTTTTTCAGCAGAATGCTGACTGCATACCTCCCAAAATGTGCTGCACTAAAACTACAAGGGCTACGGGTTTCAAACGTTGCATACTTTGTGTCTATGCATGTTTCTACACAGTACCATCGTCAAATGTGCCTATGTTTATATGATGGCCGCCATATTGGACGCTACTTTTGGGCAAAAGTTGTCTTCAAAAACTTTCACGGGCTACTTTGCTATTTTGTGCCAAACGAAACTTACCACATACAACACTTTAAACGCTTGTTCTGAAGTTGCCTTTGGTTGTTGAACATTTTCTGTTCTTGGTCCTATGTCAAAAGACCCTGCAAGCGCTACGGCTTTCAAACTTTGAAGAGCGCCATAAAAGTTACTGATCAAAACATCTGTTCAACATTATCCATGTGGATAAAACGTATGGGAGCTAAAATGGAAAAAACTGTTTGAGACGTGCCCCGAATGAAAGAAAAAGAGTGCCAAACAACCTGACCCTCAACACCAGGCAGAACACGCGAAACATCACGCAAAAAGTATTCCAACAACGTACCAGTCATGATAAATAATGCCTACATTCAAAACCCCAAAGTTTGGACAGATTTAACAAAATAAGGACTTCTTTTTATCACCGACGGCCCAGGGATACATTGCCGAATGTACCATAAGTTTCATCGACATTTACAGCACGGCAGATTACCCGTGCAAAGCATGCGACAGTCTGAAGGAAGGCGCAAGGACGATATCTCCTATAAAGAGACTACCACTGCAAAGCGTGGTCCACGTGCAGATATGGGAGACGATGTAAATTTCAATTGACAATGACGAGAGCTAGCGCTACACAAAATTAAAATACACTGCAGTAGAGGTGCTATTCCTTCATTGTAATTCAATCTTTTGTAAGGGGTATGTCTTTAGGCAGCTTTTAAAGATTGTCAATGATTGAGCGTTCCGGGTCAGGGTAAAAGTTGTAGCTGTGGTCTAAGGGGGGAAACTCTGGTCTAGCTGAAGTAAGCGCTAGTAAAATCGTTCAACAACGACCAGGCGCCGACTTTGCAATGCCCGAAGAGTAAAACGCTTTTGCTAACAATTCGGTGCTGTTTGCATGGACTTTAAAACTTCATAGGTGACCTGTATCGAGTTTAGGTGTATTTCCAGTATATATACCTTCTCTCGATTCACGAATTCAGTTGCAACAGATCGAGTGTAACAGTGTAATGGATACTGATGCAAAACTACTGAAGTACCTTAACTGCTGTGTAATCACAAGTTCACTTGCGTGAGCGTGAGTGTGAGTGAGTTTAGTTTTACGCCACACTCAGCAATATTCAAGCTGTATGTCCGCGGTCTGTAAATAATCGAGTCATCACGACTTGTCAGCTACATGTGACGTACATTTAGATTCACATAATGTCAGTCACAGCGAACCTTTCAAATTATATAGTTGAGGCCACAACATTTTCTGTTTCTCTGACTGTTTGAACAAAGGGTTCTTCTGTTTTGATATTCATGATACCTAAGTGATATTATTTAATGTACGAAAATAGGTTTTGTGATGAGTTTATCGAAACTTAATGACCTCCCAGTACTTCCAGTCGAAAAGCATTCGACTAGCAGTGATATGATTCATATTAACTAATACCATTACTACATTCATGAGATATGTGAGAGATGCAAAAGGCTCCAAAGAAGTAAAGCCAAGGAGCCCTATATCGCTGCTCGCAGCTATATTTATAATCAAAATCACTGGTTTATACACCAGAATACAATTGTTATTCACTGCTAATAGAAACACATTTATACGATATACGGACTGTAAAATGATAATGTATAGCATATGTATCAACAATAACTAAACAGCTTCATTTAATGAATATATATTTCCACGCGTCTCACTGTAAAGTGACTCACAATGTTAGAGAACACTGTAGGAAAATTTTGTTGTGTTCAGAAAGAGATGGGATTCCTTAAGTCTAGTTGATGCTGTTAGAAATACTAGTATATACTAGTATATAGTCGGGCCATATATTTTCCTCGTCTCGCGATGAGATTTGAACCATGGACCTCCTGATCTCCACTAGACCGACCTGGAAATAAGAGGACACATTTGCCTCCAAGTGTTGTCATGTAGTGTGGACATTCTAGGATATTGTGAGTGAGTGAGTATGGTTTTACATCGTTTTTTAGCAATATTCAAGCAATATCACTGCGGGGGACACCAGAAATGGGCTCACATTGTACCCATATGGGTCTTCGGTGTGACGGGTGAACGCTTTAACCACTAGGATTCCCCACGGCCTTGAGATATTGTGATGTAGGTGCATCTGGCTATAGGAACGTAAAGGATATGAGTTTAGAAGAAAGTTGCTGGTGTTTATTGTTTATTATACCAAAATTGTCGCTATGTCGCGTGTCGCCCTTTGTCGCCACTCATTCCGCTCCACTCCGCTCACTCACTCACTCATTCACTCACGCCGCTTCACTCCGCTCCACTCTGCTCACTCACTCCACTCCCCGCTCCACTCACTCACTCATTCCTCTCCACTCCACTCCACTCCAAACATCGAAAAGTAATCATGCTTGTGATAGTTTATAAAATCCGCCGTAACTAATAAAACGCGACACGCGACAATGCGACAACGCGACATTTTGATGAAATGTCGCGTTGTCGCGCTTTGTTAAAATATTGAGTACAGTATGTATTATAACGTATTTGACTAAAACGCGACACGCGACAATGCGACAACGCGACATTTTGATGAAATGTCGCGTTGTCGCGCGTCGCATGTCGCATGTCGCGCTTTGTTAAAAAATATTGAGTATGAAAGTATGTATTATAACGTATTTACTAAAACGCGACACGCGACAATGCAATGCGACAACGCGACATTTTGATGAAATGTCGCGTTGTCGCGCGTCGCATGTCGCGCTTTGTTAAAATATTGAGTATAGTATGTATTATAACGTATTTACTAAAACGCGACACGCGACAATGCGACAACGCGACATTTTGATGAAATGTCGCGTTATCGCGCGTCGCGTGTCGCGCTTTGTTAAAATATTGAGTATAGTATGTATTATAACCACAGAAGTTCGAATCACTGTTTGGCCTCTCTTCGATAAACATCG